TCAATTGGATGAATGGATGAAAATAATGTATGCAATCACAATAGAATAGTACTCATTCTTTCAAAAAAGTCAATCCTGACATTTGCAAATATATATATAAATCTGGAGGACATCATGCTAAGTTAAATAAGTCAGGCCCATGAAGAAAAATATCTTATTTACTCATTAGTAGGATACTTACTCTTCTTAAGTGTATAGGGAACATGTCCATGATTAACAAAAATACCTCATTTACTCATTAGTAGGATACTTACTCTTCTTAAGTGTTTAGGGAACATGTCCATGATTTTATGTTGTTCAGTCATAAAAAGTCTCAATAAATTTTAAAGGACAGATAGCACACAAAATATGGTCTCAAATTACAGTGGAATGAAATTAGAAAGCAGTGGCAGGTAGAAATTTAGGAAATTCACAAATATGTGGAAATTAACCAACAGATTCTAGATTTTTTATTCTTTTTAGAAACATATGACAGTAGAATGTATTTTGACATATTATACATACAAGGAGTGTAACTTGTTTTAATTAGGATCCCAGTCTTGTGGATGCACACAATGGTGAGATTCTTCAACAGATTCTAAATAGCCAATGATTCAAAGAATAAATCACAGGGGACATTATAAAATACTCTGAAATAAATGAGAGTGAAAATATAATATACTAAAACTACAGTTTGCAATAAAAGATGTTTTGGGGAAAATTATAGCTGAAAATACCTATATTTTTAAAAGACCTCAAAATTGTAAAAAGAACTCAAACTTCCACCTAAAAACCTTGAAAAAGGAGAGTGCGGAAAACTCAAAGCAAATGCAAGGGAATTAGAATAGATTAGAGGAAGCAGAGCAGGGGGAGAAAGGAGGGAAAGGAAAGAGGAAGGACTGGGGACTGAAATGGAGCAAATTATATTCCACACATTCATGATTATGTCAATGAACTCCACTATTATGTATAACAGTAGTGCAGTAATACATTTTAAAAGGGAATAAGAAGATTGAAGTGGAAATAAATGAAAGTAGAAAAATGACAATAGAAAAAAATCAACTGAAACAAAAAGTGGAGCTTTGAAAAGATCAAACAAATTGGCAAACCTTTAGCTAGACTGATCCAGAAAAAAAGAGGGAGGATTGAAGTTTCCAAAATCAGGAATAATAGGAAATTATAATCTACAGGGGGAAAAGAGATTATAAGAGACTATTATGAACAATTTTAAGCCAACAAATTAGAAAATGTAGATGGAATGGAAAAATTAGAAGATACACAGAAACTTCCAGAACTGACAGGAAGAAATAGAAAACATGATTAGGCCTGTAACAATAAATAAAGTCAGTAATCAAAAGCTTTACACAAAGAGTTCCTGAACCAGATGATATCACTGATGAACTCTACCAAGCATTTAAAAAAATTAACAGCAATACTTGACAAATTCACTCAAAAAATAGAGGAGCAGGTACCACTTATGAACTCCTTCTATGAGACCATAACTACCTTGTTGAAAATAATAGACAAGGAAATAAGACTATATACCAATTTCTCTTATGAATATAGATGTAAAACTCAACAAAATATTAGCAAATCACTCCAGTAACACATAAAAAGATTATTTATCATGGTAAAGTAGGATTTATCCCTGGAATGTATGTTGATTCAACACACAAAAATCAATCAATATGGTATACCTTGCTTACCAAATAAAGAACAAAACACATAACAATATCAATAAATGCAGAAAAACATTTTACAAAATCTAGACAGTGTTTCATGATAAAAACACTGAACAAATTAGAAATAATATGAAAATTCTTCAACCTGAAAAAGCCATACAGCTAACTTCATATTTAATAGTGAAATATTAAAAATTTCCCCTCGTCAGAACAAAACAATGATTTTTGCTCCCGTTGCTTCTGTTTGACATCACATGGGAGGTTCTACCCATGGCATTTGGGAAAGAAAAAGAAGTGGAAGTATTCCTAAAATTGTTCTACATATTCAACGTAATCCCTATTAAAATCCTAGCTTGCTTTTCTGGAGAATTAGCAAATCAACTCTAAAGTTCATATGAAAATTCAAGAAGCATCCCAGAGTAGCCAAATCAATCTTGAGAAAAAAAGAGCAAAATTGAAGAAGTCAACCTTTCTGATTTTAAAGAAGTATTCTAAGTTCAAAATTAGATATTTGAATATTTTGATAAATTAAATATATGAATATTATCTTTTCATTTAAGATATGCCAGAAGAAATTAATAGAAATTGTTTTACATTCTACCACAAATTTCTCAATCAACCTCTGTTCAATTTTCTCCTTCCTACATTGGCATTTTCATGAGTGCAATTTAAAAAATGTATTTACATTGGGAAAGTTAATCAATATTAAAATTTAGTTTGCTTTCACCAATGTGTGCCAATGTTTTCTTTATAGCTATTTCATTCAAATGGCCACTGATGAATCTAATCTTATCTATCTTCACCTGAACATTCCAAAAGATAATTCTATCTATAATATTTTATAACAAATTTATCAAACCATTGATGTTAAATATTTATTATTGTTAAGGTCTGTAGACAAGTCAAAATAACACCTGGTATTTTGCCAGGGGAATGTAGGGTTCATAAACAAGTCTGGATGGTGCTTGGCAAAATGCCAGAGGGAGTGGTTTGAGAAATAATAAAAGCAAGCCATTAAGTGTGGAGATTCCTTATTGGTTGACTGATGTATCTAGTTTATGCTAATTAGATAAGCTGTGCAAAATGTATAAATGGCTCTGTTGTCCTACAATAAATGGCTTCCATTCCTGCTGTATCAATCTACAGAAGTAATTCGTCACCCCCCGGTTATTATGCTGCAGCCGGACTGCGGCATATTATAGTTATCTTAATGTTTTGAAATAATATTATTGGAACTATGATTTAAGGAACTAATAATGCTAGTTAAAATCTAATACCTAGGGCCTTGGGGAATAGCTCAGTGGCAGAGTGCTCAGAAGCACAAGTCCCTGGGCTTGACCCCCGGAACCACACATAAACGCACGTGAACACACATTCATAAATTTGTTTTACTAATGTAGCTGTCTTTCTCTCAACAATTAATGCTTAATCTTTTTCTACTTTTCCCATTCAAGTTAAGAAAAACAACCCATAAACCATCAAGAAGTTTAAAATCACTCTCTTGTTTAAAAAAAATAGACTATTCAATGAAATTAAGGTATTTGCCAGTAAAGGGATGGAACTGGAGACCATTATGCTAAGTGAAAAAAGCCAGATCCTGAAAGTCAAGGTCAAATCTTTTCTCTGAAATGTGAAAGCTAGTCTGAAATCTGGAAGAAATAAATGGTGGTGGGAGGCAATTCCATCAAAATAGAAGAATGGTGAAGTAGAGAAAGGAAACTGAGGTAGAAGAAGGAGGGACAGGATAAAAGAAGAATGATGGAATGTATCTGACCTAACTTTCTTATGTACATATGTGAATACACCACAGTGAATCTCACCTTTATGTACAAAAAGCACTAATTAAAAAAAACTATAGTAGAAAGATCAATAGAGTAGAGAAAGATAACAGAAGGATGGAGGAGAGGAGGGAAAGGGGAATCCCTGAGGACTGAATTAGAGAAAATTATAATCTACGCTTTTATAACTATGTCAAAATGATTCCTAATGTCATGTATAACTAAAAAGAACAAATAAAAATAGGCTACTCAAAACTTAAATATGTGGGTTTAATATTTTGAACTTTAAGTACTTGTATTAAAATTTCTTCAAAAAGATTTTTATCTTCAATGATTTTCAAAGTTCTTGATTTAACACAAGAAAAGTGTTAAAGATGCTACTTAAGTTATATTTTTATGATTAGTCTGACAACCAATTATACAAATAGTCATAAGAATCATTCAGAATGGATAATTCACCTTACCCAACTGGGGTGTAATGTTTTAGGTGGTTATTCTTTATATCATTAATTTCTCCTTCAGGTGGGTATAATAGCTTTTTTACTGATAAGTTTCACAGTTTGAGGGAACAATTCATGACATAATATGCTAGGCCATACTTCCAGGCCTCCCTTCTTGATTTTACTAGACTTTACAAAGAACTTAACAAAGTTTAAAAATATCTATTCATAGGTATTTTCACCAGTATTTAAAAATATCTATTCATAGGTATTTTCACCAGTATTTATCACCATATCATTACATATGTAATTCTTATTTTTCTCACCTGATTAAATATATCAAGATAAATATTGAGCATTCATTTCCTTCCAATTTCAAAGATGGATAAGCATCTTTCTTTGCTATTAACTGTCTATAAAGAGAGGTAAAGCACTTTAAAGGTTCTAATGATAACTGAAAACTTGAATACAAATATATTTCACCCAGGATGTCCATGTCACTAAGGCAAGGCTGATGTTTGATCTACTGTACTTTTTTTTCACAAAGTTGTTCATCTCTCCAATTCCAGTTAGATTCTAATTGTGTGTATTCTAATGCCATTTGCCTTATTTCTAGATTTAGTGTGATTTTATACTGTGAATGACTCAGTACAAGATACCTATTACTCAACTGTATTACTATTTGCATGCCAGTGTGAAAAAAATAGAACTTATCTTTGAAATATAGTCCTTCTTTAGAATCATATGATACAAACATCTTAAATCTTCACATCACCACAAAGTCCTCAGGTTATTGGAAATAAACAGATATAAATATTATGAATTAAATTGCCATTTTTATAAGAACTTATTTCCCCTGGCTAGATTACACAAAGGGTGAAATGGAGTTATTTGAAACCACACTGATGTGAGAGGAAGACTGAGATATCCTATTGTTTTATGCTCACAATTATCCTAGTTCGTGCTCTAGAGAAAAAACACTATCAATTTTAGAATTTAAAGGAATGACAAAAAAAAAAAAACACAACACTTTACTTTTTAAAAAATGAATTTCATTTGGAAACTTCCCTAAGGTGTTCTGACTTGAATATTTCTCAATCAAGACACAGGGTGGCGCTGCAGGCTAAGAATGTGAATACAAAAAGCGCCCTAAAAAAGCTCGCGATTCTTCGTATTGTAAAACGTAATGTTAAATAAATCAACGTGTTAGAAGCTTTGCAAAAAATACGGAGTTACCAGGAGGTTTGGACAGAGATATTCTAAATCAATTTGAGACTACAAACAACTTTGTAAGGATTCCTGCACGCAAGAAATTAGAACTGAAGGTCTCAAGTTTTTCTGTGATTGGTGAAGGGATTGGATATAAGCAATCCGACTCCAACATGGAGAAGCTGGAAAGAATTCAACCAAACAGGCAAGTGATGGTCTTTATTTTTATGGTGTTCATGTCTCAGGGTCGCACGGAGCCTCTTCGTTATTTTATACAGGAGGAAACAGAGAGCCGCTCCTTTGTAGCCCATCTGACCAAGGACCTGGGCCTGGGAACTGGGGAACTGGCTGCCCGGTCTGCTCGAGTTGTGTCTGATGATGACAAACAGCATTTGCTGTTGGATCCTCAGACTGGAGATTTGCTTCTCAGGGAGACATTAGACCGGGAAGAGCTGTGTGGCCCTATTGAACAGTGTGTACTGTATTTCCATGTCTTGCTGGAAATGCCAGTGCAAATTTTTCAGGGAGAATTATGGATCCAGGATATAAATGACCACTCTCCAGCATTCACTGATGGGGAAGTGCTCTTGAAAATACCAGAAAACAGCCAGCCAGGGACTCTATTTCCATTGAAAGTAGCCCAGGATTTGGATGTGGGTAGCAATGGGCTTCAAAAATACACCATCAGTCCCAATTCTCATTTTCACATCCTTACACGAAATTACAGTGAGGGCAAGAAATACCCAGACCTGGTACAAGACAAAGCCCTGGATAGAGAGGAGCAGCCTGAATTCAGCTTAACCCTCATGGCTCTGGACGGTGGCTCTCCACCTAGGTCTGGCACAGTCACAGTTCGAATCCTGATCATGGACGTCAATGACAATGCTCCCGAGTTTGTGCATACCCCATATGAGGTGCAGGTCCTGGAGAACAGCCCCTTAGATTCCCCAATCCTCAGCGTCTTAGCTAGGGATGCAGATGCTGGAAATTTTGGGAGTGTTTCCTATGGCTTGTTCCAACCATCTGATGAGATTAAACAAACTTTCTCAATAAATGAAATCACAGGGGAAATCCGACTGAGGAAGAAATTGGATTTTGAAAAAATTAAATCTTATCACGTGGAAATTGAGGCTATAGATGGAGGAGGCCTTTCTGGAAAAGGCACTGTGTTTATAGAGGTGGTGGACGTGAATGACAATGCCCCAGAACTTACCATATCGTCACTTGCCAGCTCCATCCCAGAAAATGCTCCTGAGACCGTGGTTTCTATCTTCCGAGTTCGAGATAGAGATTCTGGAGACAATGGAAAGATGACTTGCTCTATTCCAGATAATGTGCCCTTCATTCTAAAACCGACATTCAAGAACTTTTACACCCTGGTGACAGAGAGCCCGCTGGACAGAGAGAGCAGAGCAGAATACAACATCACCATCACAGTCACCGACTTGGGGACGCCCAGGCTAAAAACCGAGCACAGCATAACCATCCTCGTCTCTGACGTCAACGACAACGCCCCTGCCTTCTCCCAAACGTCATACACGCTGTTGGTGCGCGAGAACAACAGCCCCGCCCTGCACATAGGCAGTGTCAGTGCCACAGACAGAGACTCAGGCACCAATGCCCAGATCGCCTACTCGCTGCTGCCAACCCAAGACCCGCACTTGCCCCTCGCCTCGCTGGTCTCCATCAACGCAGACAATGGGCAGCTGTTCGCGCTGAGGGCGCTGGACTTCGAGGCCCTGCAGGCATTCGAGTTCCGCGTGGGCGCCACAGATCAAGGCTCGCCCGCGCTCAGCAGCCAGGCGCTGGTGCGAGTGGTGGTGCTGGACGACAATGACAACTCGCCCTTCGTGCTGTACCCAATGCAGAACGCCTCTGCTCCCTGCACAGAGCTAGTGCCCAGGGCGGCAGAGCAGGGCTACCTGGTCACCAAGGTGGTGGCGGTGGACGGAGACTCGGGCCAGAATGCCTGGCTGTCATACCAGCTGCTCAAGGCCACGGAGCCAGGGCTGTTTGGCGTGTGGGCGCACAATGGCGAGGTGCGCACCTCCAGGCTGCTGAGCGAGCGCGACGCGGCCAGGCACAGGCTGGTGGTGCTGGTCAAGGACAATGGAGAGCCTCCGCTGTCTGCCAGCGTCACGCTGCACGTGCTGCTGGTGGATGGCTTCTCCCAGCCCTACCTGCCGCTCCCGGAAGTGGCGCCCGAGCGTGCGCAGGGGGACTCTCTCACTGTCTACTTGGTCATCGCCTTGGCTTCGGTGTCATCTCTCTTCCTCTTCTCTGTGCTGGTGTTTGTGGTTGTGAGGCTGTGCAGGAGGCGCAGGGCGGCGCCGCTGGGTGTCTTTTCTGTGCCTGAGGGCCACCTTCCTGGACACCTGGTGGATGTTAGTGGCACAGGGACACTGTCTCAGAGCTACCAGTATGAGGTGTGTCTGGCTGGAGACTCTGGGTCTGGTGAGTTCAAATTCCTGAAGCCAATATTCCCAAACCTCTTGGTTGAGCACGCTGGGAGAGAAGTTAAGGAAAATTCCCCCTGCAGAAATAGTTTTGTATTCAGCTAATTGTTGTATTTCATTCTCACTAATTTTGCAACTACTATTGCAATTTCTTTGTCTTTAGTAATTCTAGTGCTAGTAAAGTATTCTAACCACTATTCCAAACCTATGTGTATTCTTGATAGTTCTAAATTTTTTTCCTTTTATTGGCATTATTCTTAGCATTTTTAGGCATAGGAGATATATATTTTCTCCATATTTGATCTTAATGGTTCATTTTTCATTACTGTAAGTTAATCAGGTACACAAAACATTTTATTTTAATGAAATTCTTAATGAATTTCATGACCCGTTTAGAGGCTTGTATGAAATCTTGAATTTCCATGTATTTGTGGTACCCATCTTTAACATATAAGATTATCTTTCAATACTACAGTATTAGCCTTGAAAATATGAATGGTTTGCTATACTACCAGGTTAAGCCCACTTAGTACCATGAGCAAAAAACCTAGCCTACTTGTTTTTCTCAAATTGCATGTCAACATTATATTTCATTAAAATATTAATACACAAGAGTGTGGCCTTTTCCTGTTGTGAGCACCACATATGCAAGACATTGATATTTTATTTGGTTGCTACTTACCTAAAACATTGAAAGTGTTCCATAGATACTAAGATTTAAAATTTTTAAATGATTGTTATTTAAGATAAACTAAAAGGAGACTATCATATAATTTTCCATCCCCCTTTACTACATAAAACTGTTAAATCACTGCTTCACATAATCATATTCAAAGAATAATCTCAGAGTCTGAATTATGCCCTAAATTCCTCCAAAGAATTCAAGATTCTTGAGGGCCTCATACATCTCCTTGTCCTTTTGCTTTATAAATAGATGACCAAGTGTAATTTACTCTGTGTGTTTCCTTTGGTTTTCCTGCAGTTTCTCGCCCCTTTTCAAAAATCAGGAAAATTCTGCATTTTGGCTGTCCTGTTTAGTTCTTTTTGGCTGATCATAGATTTTGCACTTTGTAGATATGAACAGTCTTTATCACAACCTAATGACTTCTTTTTGATGTTTAATTATCTTCAGTTTTGTTCTTTAATGTGACAAATTAATTTTTTCAATGATACCAAATTTGCATTTGTATGAACTAAGTATTATTTTTGTTCTTGACTAGCTTGAACAGTAATGAATTTATCTGAATTATAATAGCTCTAAGTTTTATTCAATAAGCCTAGTGAGTTATGTGATTCCTAACTGGTTAAACTTATATGAATATAAGACAACCTCATTGTGCTTCTGGCAGAAAATAAGCAGTTAAAAAGCTTATTTTATAATCTAATATTTTAAAATCAGAAGTATCATTTTATTGGAGATTAAGGACTTGTACTTTTCCCTGAATTAATAATTTCACTGAGGATATAATAAGAAAGGAAAATTACTGCATTTAAGTCATTCTTGAAATATAGTTTTTAGCCATTATTCAGGTGAAAAGTTGAAGTGAGGAAGAGATAAAAATGAGAACAGAATTAAACACAAACATATATAAGACATAAATATGATAGTTAACTTTAATATTGTTTTCCTTATTTATTATCACCAATTTAAATGAATAACTTTTATGTATGACAAGTAATATTTCTGGTTGAAGTTTTCACGAATATATTTTAAGATCATGAAAGTTCAAGTTTATATTTCAAAAGTCCAATCTGTCTGATCACACAAAGGAGACTGGACAAATGATCATCCAGAATGCACTTCATTCCTGTGTATATTTATAAAGTTTGAACCATTCCTTACTTGATAGAGGACAACACAGAATGTAGAAAAGATCAACATTATGAAATTCAGTCACTAGGATTTAGTAGTGACTATGATTCAAATAATATCCACAACATGCATGGCATATGAAAATATACTAATTTTACTGTTACAAAACTAAGAGAATGGAGGCTAATATCTTAACAATGACACCCGTTTCAATATGCTTTTTTTCTTCATTGCTTCTTACAAATGCATCTTTTATAGTTTCTTCTCTGTTGTTTTTAGGCTGTTGTCTTTAGTGAGTTTAACATGTGCTATTTGGAGGGCAGAAATTCAACTGAAGTCAGTGTAACCCATACAAATTTAAGATCCCCTCTTATTTTATGATAAAAAGTTACAAAAAATATTTTTAAAGTGTGAGGTTAAAACATGAATGTATTTACTGGTTCTGCTTCCAGATTAGATGTACTCTTTGGAAGCATAAAACAACCATCAAAACTGACCATGATTAAAAAATCATTTATTATAGCAACAGATGATACAATAGATACAATAAGACCTGAATGGACTATGATTTTTTGAGAAGGAATATCTCTGGGGAGGAGAACTAAATCCTACAATCAATTTCCCTCCCAAGAAATTGGGTAAATCTGAAAACTAACAACAGCCTTTTTGTTGGGAACACAGTAACTTCAGTAGCCTTTGGAAGACTGGAGTATTTAAGCTCAGGATCAGCTTCCTCTCAGGGAACTAGTCAAGCCCAGAGCAGCTTAGAGGACACTAAAATATTAAGTGGAAAATTCTTCAAAATCAGAGTAAAGTTTTTCTTGCTATAGGAAGGTTAGAGTTTGGGATTTCCATAGAAAGAGACTATAGAGGATATACTAAATTCTCCACTGAAAATTCTGAAGGGCTAGATGTTTATCAAGACTTCAAAGAATCTTTTTTAAAATTTAGCTGTAGATGAAGATAATACTTGATTTTTATTTATTTATTTCTATGTGGTGCTGAGGATTGAACCCAGTGTCTCATGCATGAAAGATAAACACTCTACGGAGCTACAATTCCAGGCCACTTCAAAGAATCTTGATTGAACCCATGCCTGTTTTGATTAAGACAGTTTGTTTGGAACGGTTCTGTCAATCTCCCAGAAGAAAAAGTGGCCTCTTCCTGGAGGAAGATAATATCATCTTGATTCTGAACAGTTTTCTTCACATAAATATCCAAAGTTCAGTATAAAATTAGTAGATGCATGTGCCTGTTTATGTATACATGGACACACATAAACACACAACTGGATAAAATAGAGCAAAAACATAACCCCTCCAATGCAGGGATAATATAGATACTATAATTAGTTGATAAACAATTAAAAAAAGTATGGCTAATGTACTAAAAATAAGGAACAATGGAGAAAATAGATATAAAGAGAATTTCACCCAAAAATTGAAAATGTAAAATGGAAATTAATTCTACAATTGAACGATATAATGCCTGCTATAAAACTATATAGTTTAATGTCATTGACATTGAGTAATACAGTATCAGTGCATGCAAGATAGGTCAATATGAAACATATGAATTCAAACAAAAAATAATGAAAAATATAGAAAGGATACTACTTGAATTTGGGATATAAGGAAAAACTCAAACATACTTATTGGATTCCTAGGATAAGAGAGCACAAAAGTGGGTAAGAAACAATATTTAAACAGATAATGACAAGATTGAGAAAAGTGGTCACCCTTCAAATTTATTTATTTATTTATTAGGATTAATAAAAAACAAAGCACAATAGGCATATTGTAGGAAATTTGCTCAAGACAAACTAAAAAGTATTTAAAGCAACCATATAAAAATAATCTATTACTTTTAAAGATGCATAAGTAAAATGGAGACCTTTTTAACATAAGTCAATGAAACAGAAAGGCAATGGATTAATGGTTGAAGACCTGGAAGAAAATTATTACCAGACTAGAATTCTATTACCAGTAAACATAACCATCAAAAGTATATTCTAATATGTTTTGGTTTCAAACAAACAAAAACTGAGAGAATTAATCAGTTACATCTGCACTAAAAGAAATACTGGATAGTACAGATAAAATTTAATCTGCAAAAGGAAGAGAGTCCTAAATGGATCACAGAATTAAAGGAAGAAAAAAAAAGAGAAAGGAAGGGTAAATATAAGCGAGTATTGATCTAATGTTGATTATAGTAGGCAATCATAGTAGTTTCTTAAAGCATTTAAAATATATGACTTTTAAATTCATAATAGGAAAAACACCAATTTACAGGTATAGAATTAGAGATTTCTAAAGTTCCAAGCATTATCTCATGAATGTAGAAACAATTTGTGGTAAGTTCTTGTAGATAAGAAATGTATCCTGTAAAAAAAATTAACCAAGAAAAGACGTGAAGGAAATTTTTAAAAGATAACGTGTATTTCAATAATCCAAAGAACAAAACCTTAGGGGTAGTGGAAAAATAATTAGATTTTAAGTATAGATTAAATGATATTATACATTATATTAATTATACTTGGATTGAGTAATTCAATATCATAATTGTCAGACTAGACTTAAGAAAACTCAAATATATGCTATTAAATAAATTTGTATGTGTGAGATAGATAGAAAAAAAGATTGAAAGTTTAAAAAATGCGACAAGGCACAGCAAATCTCAACATCATATACATCCAGAAGAAATTAATTTTAAAAAACTATGGATAAGTTGCAGAAAGATCAGTAGAATACAGGAAAGGGAGCAGGGGTGGGAGAGGGGAAGGGAGGGGGAATTAGTGAGACTGAATTACAAGATACAGTCCATGCTTTTATAATTATGTCAAAATGGATTCTAATCTCATGTATAACTAAAAGGAACCAATTAAAAAATGGGAGGAGGTTTTAATGCAAACACTGGCCAAAATGAATTTAGTGTAGCTATATTCACATAAGTCAAAGGAGACTCTTTTGAGCATTCTAAAGTCTTTATTTAGCATTAGATTGATTATTTCATAACAGTACTTGTTAACTTTAAGATGCAATTAAAATAATTTACTGGCAGCTATCTAAGGCCCTTTGGATCAGGATCTCGGAATGGGTTTTGGATAAATAATATAAAATTAACATACCCCAATTAAAGAAGTGAAGCTACTGTACAGTAGGTCTCCATTAAAATATTAAAATATAAGTACACAAGCACTGAGACTTTAAGAAAAGATTCATTACTAGTGTTGGAGACAGCTGTTTCATAATAATAAAAAGGCAAAGAAATATATCAGAAATATGTGAAGCCACAAATTGAATATTTCTCTTTAGGGTGACTACAAAATATAAAAAGTCAAGATGTAAGAATACAAACACAAGTAGACAAACCATAACCATATCAGGAGACTTCAAATCACTCTCTCCATTCTTAACAGAATAAGAAGACAAAATAGAAACACACATATGAACACTGAAGTGCTGAACAACACACAATACTCAAATATACTGATATACGTAACACACTAAAACATATTTTCTTCTTACATGCATATGAAATATGAAAATTGTCTATATTCTAGATCATAAAACAAGCCTCATGTTTAATAAAAGGAATTGAAGTGACTCAGCATGCTTTTGTGACTGTAGCAGAATAAGTCAGAAATTAAAATATTACAAGAAATCTCCAAATGCTTCAAAATTAAATGACAAAACCCATGATTCAAAGAAGAAATCACAACAGATATTTCCAAACAGTTTGACCTGGGTAATAAGAAAGTAAAGAAATGACATATCAAAACAAAACTTGGAAATTTAAAACTTTAAATGCACATATTAAAGAAGAAATCAATAATGGAAGTTTTGATCACAAGAAACTAGAAGAGGAACAGCAATTCAAATGTGAAAAATGAAGGTAGCAACACATATACAAGCGGAAATGAATAAAATAGATGACAAAGATACAACAGAGCAAATTGGTAACACTTAAAGTGGGTTCTTCATAATTATTAATAAAATTCAAACTCTCAGATTAATTAAGTAAACAGAGGAAAACCCTAATTACCATTATCAGGAGAAAAATATCACTATTAACCCTATAGGCATTTTTTTTAAAAAAGCAGATTTTGTAAAGAATTTTCAGCCAACATGGGGTATTCTCTGCATCTTATCATCATTTTTTTCTGTGAATAAAACTTTCTTTACAATAGTCTATTATTTCAAAAGTGGAAGCCTTACTCTCAAACAATAAAAACCATAACAAAACTATTTGAATTAAGACAATGTGGTATTGCAGGATAAATAAACAGAAAAATTGAAAACTTGGGAGCAGACCTTAGAAAGATCACCTGATTAATGACAATGATGACACTTCAGAAATAATGAGGAATGGATCATCTTTTCAATAGATGGTATTAAAGCATTTGGAAAATTTTTGGCTCTAACCATATTTATTTGATAAATATGGCTTTAGATGGGTAAAGTATAGTAATTAATCTTTCAAAATATATGAGAATATATTTATAACCTTTGTGTATGTGAATACTTAAATAGAGCCCCCAAATGTTAATCTAACTGAAAAGTATTTACAAATTATACTAAATTAAGGAAAGTTGTTGATCAATAGTACTATAAGAGAAATTAAAATACAAAATAGTGGGAGAAGATATTTTTAATGAATTACATGAAAAAGGACCAATATTCACAATATACAAGATACTCCCAACAACAACAAAAATGAGCAAACAAACAAATGCCCCAATAAGAAAGATGAAGAAAGACTTGAACAAGCAATAATAAGAGTATGTCCTATTGGTAAATAAACTAGTGAAAATGTAAATAATTTTGTTAACTACCAGGAAGATACAAATTGAAATTACAATATAATATCATCATACACTCACTAGAGTGATTAGAATTGAAAAGACAATATCAAATGTTGACAAAAATATGGAGCAACTGGAACTTTCATACTTTATTGGTACTGGAAAAACTACTTTTGAAAAATTCTTCACAGTATTTCCTAAAACTATATATATATATATCTTCATCTTAATGCACAGCAGTCCAAGTCACACAAATATAATCAGCATAAACACATGGCCACCAGAAGATCTACAAGAATGTTCATAACAATACTACTGAAAAAAGGCTCAAAACTAGAAAAACATTAATGTTCACGAGCTGAAGAATATAAAATATCATGGTGTATTATACATTAGACAAGAACAAAGCAATGAGAATAAAACAAATCAAAATGGCATGCCACACAGATCAATTTTACAAAATTTTTAAAATTTTTGAGTAAAGAAGACAGATGCGAGAGCAATAATATATATATATAAATGTACCAAAAAATTCAAAGAAATCAATTACAATAAAAGTCAGGATATTGCTTATGTTTGGGGGAAAGTTAGTAATCAGACTGTGGTAGGAGAGGAGTGCCTGGGTTTGGGTAGCATTTTGTTTTTAATCTCATTCTATTGATAAGAGTGTATCCACATCCTTAAAATTCACTGAGTAGTACAGTTACCACTTGCGCACTTTTATGAAGGTATATTATACTTAAAAATTAATTTTTGTAAAATTTTAGAATTTGTAGAAATCCATTATGAGTATTTTGTGAATATAATCAAATTATAAAACCAGAAAGAAAGTTTCTTCATGTAGTATGAAGGTACCTTTATGAAAAAGACGAATATATCATTTTGGTTTGTTCTTACAAGAATTCATTCACTGAAAGTTAACTCCGCAAACTTTTCAGAACTTCATATAACTTAGAGATACAATTAAGGTATTTTAGGGACTTAAAAGGATATTAATACACAGCCTTATTACAATTTGGAATGATATGACAAGTACTATATGCAATAGTAATTACGGACACCTGGTGGCGCTGCAGGCTAAGCTTGTGGAAAAATGGGCTCTGCCAATGCCACAGACGCCATTGAGCTGGAAATCAGAACTCTGAAGCTCCCCCAATGAAGGAGGCATTTTAAGCAAGCTTCGGGAGACAGATCTTCAGACAAGGCATCCTTACAAGTGCACGTCAGATAGAAACATTTAACTCAAGATTATTTAACCAAATCATCTGAGTGGACTGTATACCGAGTTGAAGGAATTGCACCTTCTGGACGGATTTGAACAATGCAGACTGCTCTAGCAAAACCCCCGCAGAAAAGGCAAGTCATTTTTCTTGCTATACTGTTGTTTTGGTGGGGGGCTGACTCTAAGGCGATTAGATATTCCATTCCAGAAGAAACAGAAAGCGGCTACTCTGTGGCCAACCTGGCAAAAGATCTGGGGCTCAGGGTGGGGGAGCTGGCCACTCGGGGAGCACGAATCCATCACAAAGGCA